GTTCGATGTTTTACGATGCAAGTTCCTCTATGCCGGCAATAATAGTCACAAGAAATCATGAATTGCTCGTAAGTATACAAGTCTATGCGAAGGTAATGGAGAGCGTCTTACGGGGACACTGAACAAAAGATCCCAGGATTCCCACGTAACCACATTATCATCAGCAGTGCAAATACACATACGGGTGCGAGTCATTACTGCTGTCGACTGCTGCTCCCATCCACAGTCATCCGGTTTAGTTAATAACAGATAGGCAGAGCGACCGCGCAGTTGTCCCTCATACCGATCCTACTGGTTCGTTTCGGCTTTGGCTGGTGTGATGGTTACCTCATCCAGAGATTAGCCGATCACGACACGAGTAAAAATCTACTGCGCAAACTACCCGATGCCCAATTAAATTGTTTCGAGGACAAATTTTATTGCGGTATTGGGCTGTTGGTTGGTAGAGGAGAAAGCAAAATCGGAACAGGTCACTACTAGTTACCCATGGGCAATAATCGCAGAAACTTTGTACTTTTGGATTACGGTGCTCCATAAAACCAACCGTTGAAAAGTAAATAACTAGTGCGCAGCTGACGTTAAACGATCATGGTGTCCATTTCAACTTTTGGATTTGCTGCCATTAGCCCATCAAACGATTGGCCAGTCCATAATCGGCTTCATCAAAAAGCATAAAAAATGCTATGCTTAATCGCCTCGGTTTCTATACATATGAGGTATGGAAGTGAAAATTTGATTACTCAGATATTTAGGGTGGAGGTAGTGTAGTGGCGAGGGTGCACGCATGGTGACGGGTTTGGATCCCGGATCGATATCTGTCTAGGTCGACCAGGCCTTCCATCCCTCTGAGGTCGGTTAAATGGTTTCAGACTCGTCTGGGAATGAAAAAGGACTGACTTGTACATCGGCTGGCCATCGCAACTAATTGTATAGGCCACATACGCATTCATTGCGCCACTACGTTCCTGAATAGAAGTCGAAGGCGGGGGCGCATCCCTCAGACGAGACTGATCAACGCCCCAGGTCTTTCTCCTTTATCCCTTAGACCCAGATATCTAAATGCACGGCCTAGTCAAATTTGGGAAGGAATCATGAATCAAAATGTATTGAGCTAACGTAAACCTTAGATAGCCCTGCTCACACATAATGTGGTGGTGGTGATGGAGATGAACTAATTAATCGCCTGTTGGATTAATCCTAGCAGCACCTGTGTTGAAATCGTCACCATCATCTTCCTGTGCTAGGAGGGCCTGCGTTCCCCTGATGAAACATTTGAAAACCTCTTTCAAAACGGATTAGGAAAACGGATAAGGAAAAGATCTATAAGGGTAAGCAGCAGGATACCGGAAAACGTAAAAAACATCCAAAGAACTAGCGTGTCTGGGTTGAATGCATTTGGAAAATTCACAACTGGTTCTGTACCAGTTCCGGATGAGATTGTTATGTAATCACGATATGTTGCATCATTAGCATCATTACAGCCACCCTTATGAGCTCAATAGTTGTAATGTGTGCTGTCCTACCCTTATAGCGTTATAGAGTAAACACAAGAAAAAAGATTCTATTCCTCCTGAGATTAGCGTATCATTGAAGTTCCAGTAATTATTCTATCCAGTGCTGGAAGTGGTGTAGTGGCAAGTGGCGCTCTACCACGCACGTATGGTCACGGGTTCGAATCCCGGATCGATTTCCGCCGATGGTAACAAAGCCCTCCATCCCTCCGAAGTCGGTTAAATGGTACCAG